TTTTTGTGGGATTTTTTCTGGGGCTGTTTGTTTTTTCAATCGAGGCAGATAAATCATTGTGCTCAAGATGACACTTAGAATACTTGACGGGTGCTTCAAAAACAAAGCATCTGTCTTTATGGATGCATTTGCAGGAGTCCTATGGGATTGGACGGCATATAAATGTTATTAAACTTAAACTTAACATTTCCATACCGTCGCTTGTTTTTCTCCCTTTCTCAAAGAAGAGTTGCGGCTTTTTTAAAAAGTTTGATTTCTTGAAACCTGCGGTAGTTTTTGGCTCACTCCTGGTTAAGACCACAGCAGTTATACCCAAAATCCACACCCACGTATCCGTATCCGTCTTGGATCCACTTGCAAACCAAAGGCATTTTTTCCTCTCTTTGTCCGGAAAAAACGCTTTTTCCCCCTTACTTCCCCCCCCCCCCAAATGTTAAATTTTAAAATGGCTGATGATAAAAAAAACCTGCCCATCATCTGACAAAAAAATGAAATAAAGAGGAATAAAATATAAAAATAATCATTCAAAGTAATTTTAAAAAAAAGAAAACCGAAAATTAATAAAACTCAAAGGATAGACTCAATGGACCATAAGGTCCTTCCTGCAATCGGTTTTCTGTTTCTAAAATAATTGATCCTGATGGAATAAATCTATCATTGTTGTGGCCTGCCGGCAGAGCTGGCAGTAAATTCAGACAGTGAGGAGGGTTGGGGAGGAACCTGGGTCAGTCCTGGAGTCTGGGGAAGGCTCAGATGAGGGCTCTGTGTCGGAGGCGGAGAGGGGGCCAGGGCCGTCCGACAGTTATCAGCTGCCTTCGGAGTCAGACATCAGTGGGGCAGAAGAACAGCTGGAGCCTGTTCCCATGCGCAGAGTGGCTAGATGAAGGGAAGAGAACGGGGGTCGACTTGGGAGTAAGGCCACAGGTGAACGATGAATGGCCCCTCTCATAGGAAAGAGGAGCAAAAGGGGAGTGGAGTTTGCAGGAGACCATTAGTTCCCTTCATTGGCTCGTGACTCTCCGAGACTCCTTGCCAGGTTTTGCAGATCTCCTCCTGGCAGATCTCCAAGCCAGATAAGGTCTGTGACCGTAAATCCTCCCTTGAAAGACTTTGCTGAATGTGAATGAGCAGAATTCACAGTCAATTAAAAAAAGGGGGTTTTGTCGAGACAAGGAGTTTGCTTCAGGCTCTCGGGAAGCCTCGGTCAGAACGGTTAACAGTCAACGTTTCCTTTTACCTGAAGCATCTCCTTGCT